TATATGTAATGTATGTATATACATATGTATATATGAATGCATATATATATGTATGTATATATGTATATATAAATAAATATATATGTATAATATACATATATGTATATATATAAATATATATATTTATATACATATATGTATATATAATAATATATATGTATTTATATATACATATATATATATATATATGTATTTATATACATATTTGTATATATAAATATATATATTATATTACATATTTGTATATATAAATAAATATATATGTATATACATACATATATATCTATTCATATATACAAATATGTATATAAATACATAATATTTATCTATATACAAATATGTATATAAATACATATATATATATATACATATATGTATATAAATACATATATATTTATTTATATATACATATATGTATATACATACATATATATTTATTATATATACATATATGTATATACATACATATATATTCATTTATATATACATATATGTATATACATACATATATATTTATTTATATATACAAATATATATATATATATATATAATATATTATATATATATATATATATATATATATAATATATATATATATATAATATATATATATTATATATATATGTATAAGAGGAATTATACATAAAAAGTAAAAACAAAATAACAAAGATGCTGGATTTAGAGCATGAACATTTCAAATTTGAAGTTTCTTGCACATATAGTGGGGCTTTCATGACATTGTAAAAGTGTTAACACAATGTAGGTATAGCTGTTTTAAATAAATCCTGAAAGTTCAAGTCAAAGGAAAAAAATACTATCTTATTCATTTTCATTTTGTTGTGGCATCTACAGTCCAATTGAGTTAATCATATACTGAAGATAAATTTGTGTTAAGTTCTATGGTAATATACCGCACACATATTTGCCACACCTTCTGATTACACTGTGGACCACACCTTTATTCTCAAGCATCCAATCAAGGTTCATGAGATGTATCTTGGATATCTAAATGCCATACTTTCTAGAATGGACACAGGTGACACAGACCTGATAAAGACTCATCATAATGCTCCTTAATTTCCATTTTCCCTTCAAATATATTAAAATGCAATCCTGGATTAAGGAGGCCAATAACAGCAAACCAACAGTTAAGGAGGAAATTAAACATACCAGGCAAACTGGGAGATAAACATAAAAAATGATAATAAATATCACAATTAATAGCTTTTAGTTGATTCATTGGGGGTTCTTACTATTGCTCTCTTTATTTGGAACATCATAACATATTTCCATTAAAGCAAAAAACATTCTGACAAATTGGAAGTTGGATTTGACCCGTAACTAACAATAGATTTCCCTTCCATACTGGTCTTCTTACTTTGTCTATGGTAATGAAAATGAAGAACACATAAAATAATAATATTAGGATTAAACACAATGGAGAAAAGGTGTGGCCAAAATGGCAGATATCTCCTTAAATCGTATAATCCTATGGCTTCTGGCCTTTGATACTCCAGCAAAGTTAAATATCCACAAATATATTCAGCCAAGATAAAGAGCTCGTCAACCTCCCTAGGGTTCTGTTATCAAACAAAGAACCAATCCAAGCTCTATCTAGCCGAATATCTTATAGCGGAGGTTTGTTATTCCCAGCCAGTTTGCGTTGAAAAGGAAAGCAATCCATAATGAATTGGACTAAATATTGACAAAATCTGCCATCATGATAATTAGAATTTTTGGTAATTTTTCACAATACCTTTGCAAAATAATACCTTTGCATTGTCAGGATTGGGAGGTGGCAGTAGACCAGGTTGTGGGTCGCAGGGGGTACAGCCCTTTGCATTAGAAAATAAAGTGACTGGTTCAGTGTATATTATTCATATATTATCCTACAATTTCCCTCGTGCCTTTCAAGTCCTCCCCTGCGATTGGGGCCAAGATTGCTGCTAATGGGGAGATTTCCGTGACATAATTCCAATCTCTTAGGATAGTAGAGTGAGAGGACTCCATCAATACCAATACTGTCGCACTCAGTTATGTGAAGGTATTTTCGTTCCAATTATCAAACTAAATGTCTTTTTTAAAATCAAGAAATGATAAAAAAAAACATGACATTTATGACACCACGTTTGTCCACAAATAACAAAGTTGCTATTTTCTTTTACTACTGTTATTCCTTTCGACTCCCCTTGTACTCTGTTACAATCTTATTACAGAAGAATATTAAAGTACAAGAATTTATTCAAATGAACGTCAAATGTCACATTAATGTGGCTTGTTTTCCCTTCCATGGCCTACAACACGTTCACCTTAAAACCGCCCAAAATGTAAGCAATCTGTTTTATAGTTCACTTTCACATTCCAGCTGAACTTGCCTTCTTCAAAATCTAAATTCCTGTAGTTCCTGTGACGCGACATCTTGCTTCCGTATCGTCAAAATAGTAAGCTAAATTCCAACGTTACTGCAAGGACCCCAACACCATGATGGACTCCTCCGATTCTGTGAGCGAGAAGAATTTAAGGTATTCATGTCATATTCAGCTAATTGATACATCATTTGAACTCCCACAATACATTTTTAAATACAAAATACAATTACTTATTATCTCAATTCTCATAAATCTAATGCCACTCCAAAGAAATGTCTTCGTAAAGAGCAAGCCAAGATTATTTCTTACCTGCGAACCTGATGAAAAAGCAAAATAAAGATGGCATCAGCTCTGGAGGGAAATTTGAAACTGGGATATTTCATTAGAATTGTATATATATGTTGTTGATCCCTGTGGAAATTACAGTATCAGAACAACTGTTGTAACTAAAACAGCTATTCTTTCATTTGTGTGCTTAAAAAGCTTCTTTCCATTTACCATATTGTCGTTTTCTTCATTTGCCAGTGGTAAGAACGCTTCAACAATATTCCAAGGTCAATGCAATCTCCAAAGCAATCTAATCAGTCACACACGTTTTTCTGTAAGACATAATTCTACACAAACACACATACACCATACACACACATATACACCATACACACACACACACACACACACTATAAACAAAAGTACATATACATACATACATATAGGTATATATATATTATATATATATATATATATATACATATAATACAGTATACGTATACATATTTATACACACACGTTTTTCTGTAAAAGACATAATTCTACACAAACACACATACATCGTACACACACACACACACACACACACACACACACACACACACACACACACACACACACACACACACACACACATATATAAACAAAAGTACATATACATACATACATATATATTATATATATATATTATATAATATATATATATATATATATATATATATATATATATACAGTATACGTACATATCTATACACACACACACACACATACATACATACATATATATATATATATATATATATATATATTATATATTATAATATATATATATATATATATATATATATATATATAATATGTGTGTGTGTGTGTGTGTGTGTGTGTGTGTGTGTGTGTGTGTGTGTGTGTGTGTGTGTGTGTGTGTGTGTATGTATGTATGTATGTATGTATGTATATGTATATGATGTGTATATATATATATATATATATATATATTATATATATATATATGTGTGTGTGTGTGTGTGTGTGTGTGTTTATTTATTTACACACACACACACACACACACACACACACACACTCACACACGCAGGGTTACACATATATATTATCTTTATACCAGTATAGTTTAGTTAGCCCGTTATGATCCGTTTTCTCTCATGGACTGGAACTGCTTTATTTCTATCATTGGCATTAATTGCAGTGAAAGACGGAAGTGAGATTTCAAGACTGTTACTAAAGTCGCCCATAATTACCAAATATCTCACATTTGAGGAGGAAGTCAAGAGTTATAAGTTAGAAGATGTAAGTCAAGAGAAGTAAATATATCAACCATAGAAGCGGTGTTACAACCAACTCTTTGCCACAAGTAGTCACTTTTGCCGCATCATCCCGAGGCTTAGAATATGCCGCGACAGTTCAGCAAGATGGAATATCCATAATATCTTATAATTAGACACACACACACACACACTTATGATACACACATACATACACATGTACGGACACACACCACACACACACACACACACACACACACACACACACACACACACACAATACATATATATATATATTATATATATACTATATATATATATATATATATATATATCATTATCAGGGCCTTGAAGACACATGTTTGGTCGTTCTGCACAAATACCGGGTGATTCAAATACTCTTGTTGATATTCATGACACCTGCTGCCAGGCCATTCCGTGTATTACCTTCTGGTTTGACAGCCCAGGGTCATTAAAACACTACAATAGTATGCAAAGTTCTCTATAACTACAGTGCCCTCAACACAAATATGAACCGACTGAACAGGTTCTCCAAATTTCTGGACCTTGCTCCAAGAGGCCTCTAGACCAAAGGGCTTCGCCTTACTGTTGAATACGTCAAGAGCCGCCACCAGAGATTTCAAAAAATCAAAGTCCATGTTGGTGACCTTCATATTGCCCAGTGTTGTTCCACAGTGATTTTGAACAGTAGTTCTACCCATAACCCCCCTTCATGCGTGTTGCAAAATGTTGGTGTGAGAAAACAGCCTTGCCTCACTCCTGAATTAACAGGGAAGAAGCTCTACAGGCCCCTACCACTCTTTACAGCACCCAGTACCAGTTTATAGGCTTACTTTTAGTCCAGCAATCCCCAGGATCTCCCTTGGCGATTCACGATGCACTTACTGCAGTCAAACGCCTTCAGTCGATGTAGGCTACAAGCAGCCGCGACTAACTCATGACGGTGTTCCACAATGGTCTAATGTTGACTTGCCAGCGGTAAATCCAGATTACTCTGGTCTCTGGTGCCTTAAAAGATGATCATAGATACGTTTCAGGAGAATGTGAGCGAGAACCTAGTCTGGTATTCTAGGCATTGTGATGTCACAGTAGTTGCCCTTTCCCCTTCCAGAGAGGGATGACTACGCCCTTCAACAGGTCTGAGGGAATGGTACCAGACTGACAGATGGCAGCCAAGAATCGCCAAGCCCCACACCATAGGTTCACCACCATCCTTTAGCAGTTAGATATCGCATCCCTAAATTCAGTTAGAGCAGGAGGTTCTTCGCTGATGTATATCAGGGTTAAAGTTTACGTGTACATAAAATAAACCCGATATATAGTGGTAGTGGTGGGATGGTGATGCCCGGGGCAAACTTCTATGCCCTAGTACAGGTTCTTCTATGGCAATGTATGTGCATATGCTAAGTCGCTCGTCTTGTAAAACACACACACACACACACATATCGCCTATTTGCAGAGTACTACCACAGTCGGCTAATTTGTCAAATTTAAATTTTGTTTCTGTGCATTTTTTGGTGTTAGACATTTTGCTAGATGAAGACCACTCTGACACTTGTTTAAGGGCGTCTTGTAATAAGGTGCCTTGCCCTGGTTGGTGTGCAAGTGCGTGTCATGTCGTCCACATATTTGTAGATCTTCACGTGCGGAATTTCGTCCTCATTTACCATTATCAGAAACAATAATGGGCCGAGGACCGTTCCTTGAGGGACACCGCAGTGAAGATAATTTTCATCGGATATTTGGTTGTTTGCACGAGTCCTCTGGGAGCGAAAGTTAACGAAGGAAGATATCCACTTCACCCAGCCCTCGTGGAAACCAAGCGAAATCATTTTCTTAATTAAGGTGGTGTGGTCGATGAGATCAAAGGCTTTCCTCAGGTCGATGGTGACGGTGGTGACCTCGAATCGCTTTTCTACATTTGAAGTGATATAATTGATCAAGTCAACTAGGTAGTGGGCTGTGGAGCTACCCTTGATGTTTGCAAATTGGCGATGATCTAATTTGGTGGCGAATATTTTCCACAATTCTTTAGCAATTATTCTCTCATTTTGCAAGGAATAGGTGTTAATGATATGGGACTAAGGTCATCGAGAGAATTAGGTGGATTTGTTTTGGGAATTGGGACTATGATAGCACGCTTCCATAGGTCAGGCACCACGCCCTCAGTGATGGAACAGTTAAAGATGTTGCAGAGGGGGGTGGCGAGCTCGGGAGCGAATTCTCGTAGTAACCACGGCGGCATGTCATCAGGGCCAGGAGATTTGCTTTTTGCTATCCTTTTTAAGTGGTACACGTCGTATTCGCTGACAATTGCTTGCAGAGGGCGCGAGGGTAAGTAAGCTGGCAGTTCTGCTGATTGTAGTGGTGGGAGTAGCTTGTTGATGTTCGCAAAGTGACAGTTGATGATGTTAGCAGCGCTTTCTGGCGAGTCGGCAATTTCGCTGATGTGAGAGAGGTAACTGTCACTTCTTTTGTCACCGATTAAATTCCGAATGTGGCTATACCACGATTTGGGATTTCCGTCACTGATTTTATCATTTATTTTCTAATGATAATTTTTCTGTCGATCTTATCTCTTGTCTAACCTTTTTTTGCCAAGTACTTTGATGCATCGATATTTCTTGTTATGTAGGCTTTTTGTCTTGCCAGGATAAGGTCTTTGATCCTGTTGGTGACCCATGGTTTGTCCTGATGGTGAGTGGATGTTCTTTTTAAGGGGAAGCAGCTGTCAACCGTTCCAGACTGATTTATAAAAAACGGCATTTAGTATTCGGGTCGGGGGCGTTGAGACCGTCGGCCCAGTCATGATGTGTAATCCATGATCCGAATTGGCGAATTTTAGAATCAGGGAATCGACGCATAAGTTTTGTTCCCTTTAATAGCGTAGGAGCTTGGTATTTCTTTGGTACCCAGAGCAGCGACAAGTGATCGCTATTGCCTAATGGGGGCAGGGAAGTTGGACTTTCATAAAAATGCTCTTTATTTGTTATGATTTTGTCTAAGGTATTTTTCCCACGCGTGGCGAAGGACACAGCCTACTTAAAATTCAGTACGGAGGTGATCATAATCAGAAAAAGTGTTCAGGTCGCCAAGAATTACAAAAAAGGGATTTCCGTACTTTGGAGGATGACCACATTTTCTATTGTGTTCTCTGAGGCTTTCTTCGGTAGGTGCCCTTGGGGGGGAAATATACCCCGCAGATTACCAGCACACTATTTCGCGAAGCAGCCATGTAGGTCTAACAGCGAGCCATATTGTTTCAAGGTCGTCACTTGGTGGACAGATGGATTTTATAGTGTTGCAGGGGATAGTATCTTTGATGTAGATACCAACGCCACCACCTTTTCTGCCATGACGAATTTTGTTTAATAAGTGGTACCCCTGTATGTTTCCGATGTTTAATGTATCGTTTTTAAACCACGTTTCTGTGATTACTGCAATATCGATAGTATTTTGTTTCATTTTGACGTCAAGTTTGTCCACTTTGTTTGTAAGACAGCATGCATTTGCAAGGTAAATACTGGGAAGTGTTCTGCGGGGTCTTGCGTTAGCTGGCGCCA